CCCTCAGTAGGGCTCTGTGGTCGAAGCGGCAGCAGAAGAAGATGACATCCTTTCCCTTCTCGACCGCTGCTCCCCGGGATCACTTTACCTTGTGTCCCATTTATCTTATTTAATCTTAATTCATTTATTCACTGATAGTAAAGCGATATCCCCCTGCTGGTTATGCTTTCCAACGCTAGCTCTAGTGCATCAGCAGCAGCATCATTCGGGTATCATCTTTCGCACCGGGGCGGGGAAATCTACTCGCAGCAGGATCTCTTACATACGTGTGCAGCACCTAGTTGAATGTGTGTGCTGAAATAGAGGAGACATCTTTTACCGGAGGAAGAAGCGCTTCCAGCACGTTGAAGTGAAAGCATGAAAGATGGATTCCCACCGGGGAATTATGCATGAAGCTGCTCGGTTGGGATTGGGTTTTCTTATTACCTCTTTCAATCCATCGCATCTCTCTGGCGCAGCAGGAAAGGAGCTTTTCTCGTGCGCTTGGGTGGTTGGGCGTGCCTAAATAGTAAATTTTGTAACATCATGCGACATCCAATCCAAGTCGAATTGCAGGGAAAATCGAAAATTGCAAAATGTTATCGATTGTACCACATATAGGTAGGCAAAGATTTTATCTAGAGTGAATACAATTCATCGTTTCACTAAAAATTGGGGGGAACCCTTACTTCGTTGTCGTCATCGACGGATGCAGTCGGAGTTACAGCAGCCACAGCAATGCAGCCTTCATCTCGCTGAACTGAGCTTCGAACAGCCACCATGATGGAAGGGCATGATAGTCGACGGTAGGTGATAGCTTTCAAGTGTGTTTTTTTTTTTCAGGATCGATGTGACCGTACATAATATTTTTGCACTCTTCCGTGTGGTCGGTGTGTCATGCAGTGCTCAACTCAGCCCAGTCCGTCCCGGACCTAGAACACGAGGGTCGTTATCGAGATTTTTCCATGGGGTGAGTTTTTCGCAATTTTCCTGCACTTATCTTCTGCCGGTGAGCGGGAGTTTTATTTTTCAAAAGGTTGGTCGTTTACAGCTAACAAACCACCAATCCCATGATGCTGTTTTGCAATTTCCTGAAAAGCTCTGTACGGCCGATTGGGGAAGTGCACAGGCACATTACAGGTATGAAGAAAGTTAAAATGTTGACGTAGAAATCGTTAATATTGATCACATGTTTTCAATGTTTTTAACTTGTTCAAGGACTTGTGGGAAAACATTTATAGCAGTCGCTTGATTTGGAGTCAATTATGAATTACACTATTGGAGAAAATTTTAGCAATTTTTCCGAAAAGTTTTAGAATAGGCTCGAAGTTAACGTTTTCTGAAGAGTTATGAGGAGAGATAGAGAAGCGCACTGGAAACAGATGAGTTAAACATGTTTTTGAGGCTTTCAATTCAAGCTCTGGAGACTACCTCCAGAGGGGGCCTTTTCTGGAAGCTCCAGAGGCTATTTTCGTAAAGTTCTGCAGACTTGCTCTTGAAGTCCCTTTGAAGTCAAAAGGACTATTCTCAGAATTCATGGGGAATTTCGTTGTTCATGGAATTTTCTCCAGAAGTGCCGTGATTTTTTTTTTCAAAAGTCCAGGAGAAATACTGCAGCATTCGCTAGAAACTTTTTGGATCTAGAAATACCAGAAAATTACTCTAAAAGTCTTGGGGATTTTCTCCTAAAGCCATGGAGATTTAAACTAGATCCCCTGCAAAATCCTGAGGACTTTATCTAAAAGTTTTCCGAAGACAACTAATCATCCCCCTGAAGTACGGAGACGGGCCTGGTGTAGTGGTTGGCATCCATGTCTCTCATGCAAAATTAATGTGACTTTAACCAAAAATTTCTTAAAGTGAATATAATACAAAAAAGTTCCCCCAAAAAATCCTAGGATCGAGCGGTCTTTCTTAAGGATTGCGCTACAAATAGTCGAATGACATAAAGCTCAAAAGGTCAAATGGATTAGAAGGGGAACAAAAGGTCGATTGAATAGAAAGGTTAATTGGAGCAGTTCCAGGCCAAATAAAAATAAAAACAACATTAACTGTATACACTAGTGAAAATTATTATAAGGACACTTTAAACACCATGGCTCCTCCCAAATCTAAGAACCAGAGGAATTCTATATCACGTGTGATTAGATCTGCGTATAACTTTTCAGAAATGAAGTTCAATGATTATTTGGACTAACTCTTTGGTTATTTTGGTGCCACAATAATTGTTGACATGCTACATAATATGGCGACAATGACCAATTCTCCATACATTTTTGTATGGCGTCCTTATAGTTATTTCCGAAGGAGAAAACCACAATTCCATTTATTTCTCCTACGTACATAATGCAATTTGTTCTTTCCTGAGCTCATATTGTAGAATTATAATGTGGCTTCCAAACGTACATGATTTAGAATTTCTCTGATTCTTAAATTTGGGAGGATCCATGTTTCTTAAAGTGTCCTTTTATTGATTTCCACCAGTGTGCTTGACCCTGTCCGTTTGGCATGAAACAATACATACATTTGTTCACATTTTTGCTGGAATTCGGCCATTTAGGATCATATTTTTTCTTCAAAATGACGCCTGACATTTTTTAATAAATCGTAGCATGAAAACTTCACTTCTAATCGAAATGACGCCTGAGACAAAGTTATAGAGAAAAAAAAGTGTGGAAAAAATATACACGCCAAATTTTTAATTTATAATTTTGAGTAAAAATTCCACAAAAGTGCCAAAAACATTTATGATTCAAAATGTCCTTGTTCAATAATCACATTTTTTTTAAGTGGGTCTCTGTATGTTTTTTTTACAGCCTGGCCTGTAGTGAAGTTGGCACGGGGTGGTATCCACTAGTTGACGGCATTCCAAGTACCCTCCTTTCAAAACATTTCAACGACGACATTCTCAAGGTTAAGGACGGGCATCTCCCTTCATTGTATACGCCGATGATATCACCCTTATCGTGTTAGGTAAATACGGTAGGGTGGTTAGGCACAAGATGCAGGATGCAGTTCAGTCTGTCGTTGACTGGGCAGATGGTGTTGGTTTTGTGTGTTTCCCCCGAGAAGTCCAAACTGCTGCATGTCTGCTTTGGTCATCACCACAGACCGAACCTGCCTTATGTTAGTATCGGTGAGCATACGGTCAAGGCCGTACGCGAGATGAAACTGCTTGGTGTGACTATTGATAACAAACTCCGATTTGTTACGCACGCCAAGTTGGTGAAGGATAACGTCAACAACAAGTTGAATATCCTTCGGACCCTAAATGGTCGCTTCTCTGAAGCCTCTCGTAGTACATTGACCAAGGTTGCCAGGGCTCTGGTTGTCCCTAGCATCCTTTACGGGCGGAACTGTGGAGCAGGGGTGGTGTCTCCCTGCTCAAGATTCTGGAACCTCAGTACAATGAGGCGTACAGAATTTGTAGCGGAGCGTTGAGGTCTTCACCGATAGCTTCTCTGTTGGTGGAGAATGGAAAGGTTCCTCTGGTGAATGTTGTCACCGAAGACCTGGCCACCAAGGCGCTAAGGCTCCTAGAAAGGGATCCCATTCTCAATGACAGGCTCACGGTTGCAAGGGCGAGAGAATGGTGGAGCGACTTGACGGGAGTAGATCTTCCCACGTTAGCCCAGCGAGCTAGGCTGTGGCAACGGGCATGGGATGCTACTGCCCCAAAAGTTGATTGGAGAGTTAAAGCTATGTGCGGGGCGGGGGCTAGCTCTAGTGTGGCGAAAGCTGCATTTAGGGAGCCTCATACGGAGGAAGGCTCAAGCTATTTACGGACGGTTCATTGATCGAAGAGGAGGTTGGTTATGGGGTGTCTGGGGAGGACATAAGCCACTGCGGCCGGTTACCCGGTCTCTGTGGTATCTTCTCAGCTGAGGCCTACGCTCTCCTGCAAGCTTGTAGGCTAGCAAATGGGTCTCAGGCCGTTGTATTTTCTAACTCTACGAGTTGTCTCTCTGCCCTTGAGCATGGGCAGGTTAGACACCCGTGGCTGTTAGAGGTGCAACGGTACGCTAACATAACCTTTGTATGGGTACCTGGACACGCAGGTATACCAGGGAATGAGGCTAGCTAACCAGGGTCGTCTTGCTCGGCTAGAGGCCACTCCGGTGCCCTATAGTGACGCTACCCGCTGGGTGAAGCACACACTAATCGAGTCAGTACGGTTTTACCGAGTTTTTGAATTGCGGAACTGTTCGGTAAAAGTTTAAAAATCTGTGGAAAATTTATTAATGCGAAAATTTGTTCTGAAATTGTACATACTTAGTTCTGTTAACTCCATTTAATGATAGAAAATAAAATTGGTCGATTTCATTGATTCCTTACGGATAACGGTCATTTGAATTTTTACCGACTTTTTCAGCAATTCCAAAACCCAGTAAAAAAATACTGACTCCTGTAAAAAAATCTTAGTGTGCAGACCTCGCGATACGCATGGAATGTGTCTTGGCATAACAACCGTGATGCATTCCTGCGTCGTATCAAGAACCCTACACAAGAGTGGAAGGATGCACCTAATTCTCAAGATCAGAAAGTTCTGACTCGGCTGAGGATTGGTCATACACGGCTCACTCATGGACCTCGTTTTAGCGGCAGTGTGGCCTACTGCCAGGGATGCGGTGTGGTATTAGATGTAAATCATCTATTGGTGGAGTGCCCGGCAAGAGCAAAATTAAGGGAAGATATGGGTGTCGTTGATACAATCCGTGAGGTATTGTTCAACGACAGGAGTACAGAGCAAACTGTACTCAACTTCCTGAGGGCGTTAGACTTATACGATATGATATAAGCATGAGTAAGTTGAAGTGGCATTAGAAAGAAAATGACTGGTATAGTCATGCCACTTCATTTGACAAGAGGCAGTCTTTAAGGTCCTAAAGACCAAGGTGTGTGAGGGAGGACGACCGACCTAACGGGGGACACAATGATGAAACAGCTGATGTTTAAAACCCGTCTCGAATGATATAAATTCTCCTCTTGTAGTGGAACAGTTTAAAGAGATGTTAATAGACTTATCCACAGCTATCCTCCCTTCGCACTGTTTCGAACCATGGACAGATGAAGACCACATGCTTTGGCGTTTCATCGACGTTGCCACACTCCGGACAGAGGGGTGAGACTGCGTGTTCAAACCGATTCAGGTATTTCCTGAAGCAGCCGTGGCCAGACAGGAACTGCGTTAGGTGTAAGTTGACTTCTCCGTCTTTTCTGTTCACCCAGGTCGAACGAATCGGTATTAGTCGATGTGTCCATCTACTGTTCTCCGCCGTGTTCGACTCATGTTGCCACTTAGCCAACGATTCCGCTCTCACAACTTTCCGTACTCTTTCGGCTTCTCTCCGCCTGTAGTACTCGCTGTCCTTGCGAGTGTTGTTCGGCATGATTCAAGCTATCGCGTTGATGGCCTTCAAAGCCTTCTCACAGGCATATTCGACGTCGCTGTTGAAGCTTAACCGGTCATTGATCATCACTCCCAGGTATTTCAACACGCGCTTAGAGGCTATGGCGTGCTACCCGACGGTGATTTTTGCACGCTGCACCGCTTTACAGTTACTGACCCATAACACTTCCGTTTTGTGGTGGGTTATTTCCAGCATCGCACCATTTCATCCAATCATGTCGATCACCTCGGTTGCCAATATATCCACCTCTTCCAGTGTTTCGCCTATTACCGTCATGACGACGTCGTCCGCAATGCCAACGATCTCAACTCCTTTGGGCAACTTCAGCGTTAGCACGCCGTTGTACATCCCGTTCCAAAGCGTTGGACCAAGGATGGAGCCCGCTGTGATCCTAATCGATCTCTGTCTCATGTCTGTTTTATAGACCATAACCCGGTTCTGGAAATAAGTCCTCAGGATCCTGCACAGATAGTCAGGGACCTTAATTCTATGCAGCGCTTCGACGATGGCCTTCCAGCTGGCGCTGTTGAACGCATTCTTGACATCGATCGTTATCACGGCGCAATATAGATCTCCTCTCCGCTTCTGTTTGGACACCTTCTCGGCTCTCTCTATTACTGTCCGAATTACATCCACCGTTGATCTCCCTTTCCAGAATCCGAACTGCCTCTCCGACAATCCGTGCTCACTCTCCGTGAATTTCGTCTGCCTGTTTAGGATGATCTCTCCAAGAGTTTTCCGAGTGTATGCAGCAGGCATATAGGCCTGTACGATGCTGGATCCCCTGGCGGTTTTCCTGGTTTCGGAAGCGACATTACCTTCCCTATCTTCCACCTGTCAGGGAAGTGACCATCGTCCAGACATTTCTGCAGCACCATCCTGAACATGTCCGGGGACACCTGGATTGCCACTTTCAACGCCACGTTGGGGATTCCATCTGGACCGGGAGCTTTCTTGACCTTCAATCCTTTCGCCGCTGCTACGAGTTCCTCGTTGGTAACATCAACGTTATTTCCTTCTTCCTCTCCCTCTCCCTCTCCGTACGGTGTAGGTGGCCAGGTCGTTGGGTCGTGCTTCGGGACAAGGCCGTCCACGATGGCTTTCAGCATATCTGGGCACATTTCAGCGCGTATCGTTGGACCTCTGATCTCTGCCATCACGACTCGGTGGGGCTTATTACGGATGTCACTTCACGGTGAAAACTTGTCACTTGTCGTCACGGTGAAATGATTCCCATTTGATTTGTACGGTAATCACGGCTCTTATTCTGAGTATCACTTCCTTATCACCGTGTAGTGACACCCGTAATAAGGCCCGGTAACTTTACACGTGAGTTCCCAACGATCTTGAAGTGTGCTCGTTTTCCCCGACGGATGGAATTTTTCCGGCAATCACCAACCGGTCGGAAGCGGGCGGATTCGTTACCAAATCGGTCCGAGGTTCGCCGTGTGAAATGCAATTGTAAGCGACCTCCATTCATCGGATCACCATCGAATTCACTAACGGGTGCGTCGAACCCGTCGATAGGTCATCGACTGTGACCATAACGTAAGCCAACAATCATCTGGTGAAATCGCGGAGAAACGAAGGAACTCCACATTGACATATAAAGTACTTAAAAATAAGTTTTCCCCTAACAGTACTGTTTTGGATACAATTCTATTCTTATTGACAAGTACTTTTAACCTTTTCATGAAGTAAAACTAAAACAGTTACTTTTACTTTAATACTCGATTTGTTTCGTTTTCCGAACTTTAAAAGTATCCAAAATCAACTGTAATAAACGAATTATTATAAAAAAAAAAAAAAAAAAAAAAAAAAAAAAAAAAAAAAATCAACTGTTACGATACCGTTTATGTTTTTCTTCAAATGTCTAGTATAAGAATTTAATTCCTTTTGTCTTTTGTCTCTCTTTATTAGTTTTTGTTTGTCTTGTCCCCCCGTCTCGATGAGTCTCATCGTCGCCCACTGGTCACCCACCATAGCCGGTCGAACTCCGGACGAAGCTAGAACAGCACTACCGTTCATACTGGCGACAACGTTCTGATGAGACAACGAAACCCTACCCCAAGCTCCTCCCCTGATCCTATCCTTCAAAAATGTACCCTTCTAACCTCGAGTAAGCCGCGAGTAATCGGCCCAACTCCTACTAGACATAGAATTAAGTGAATTTTGTTACACACAGTGAACAATGAATTATCGGCTCCGTAAAGCTAACGCGATTGAGCCTTCCAAATAAACGAACTAGATAAAAAAAAACTGTTACGATTACAATACATTAAATTTGGTTAGTTGGTTGGTTTTGTCGGCTGGCGAAAGAAGCAGAAATTTCTCCAAGTATTTGGAAAATTGGTTAAATAATATTACACTTTACTTCTTCGTAGGTTCCCTATACAGATATGTCTGGAACCTGTGTAGAGCCATTCGTCATCCTTGCTCCATACATTGCGTCAACGAAGGAGGTGTAAGCGGAATGGCCTCCACCAACCAGCTGATGATTCCACAGTTAGTGAAGTGCACCATCACACAGCACCTGAGGGCAGTGGATCAGTACACGTAAGAATATTTTAGATTTTCGACCCTGCTTTGTGTTCTTACCTCGGTTCTTACCACATAATTGCAGTTTGATTCGGGGAGCCAAGAGCGGATCCAACGGGAAAGGAGATTGCTTGCAACTTGTCTTCACCAACCTGGTAGAAACTGAAATCAACAAAACAATGATCCGGAAGCTGATGAGTAGCTCGAAGGCTCTTTTTTTATAAACCTCTACTTTTTGTTAAGTCAACCTACACTACCTCTGTACTCCTGTGTTAATAAATAAAGCTGCTGTATTATTTTTTATACCCATCAAGCAAAACATGTTATATGGCAGAATTTTTTTCCCAATATTATTTTAAAAGGAAAAACCGGTTTTAGGTACTTTTCACGATAGTACACTCTAAATCAAACAATTGTATTTTACTCAAAACGAAGTCTTATTAAAATACTCAAATTCGGATACTTCGCAAAGAACTTAATTTTGACTGGTTACGCTTAGCTGTCAAGATGAGTACAAAAGATTTAATTTTGAATTTTTTCGATTCTCCGTGTACTCAGTACGGAAAACAAGATCGACGGAAAACAAGATCGACGGAAAACAAATCAAGGGAAAAAAAAAAGTATACAGAAATCGATTAGAATATGAACACCCGTTATTCACTAAATATACCGCATGAATATCTCCGTAATAATAAATGTTTTCGTATACGACATCACTATTTTCCGTTGTAGATTTCGTGACCCGTCCTCATGTTGAGAGCTTGAATGTTGAGGAGAGTAGTCCACTTCCAGATCGGGGCGACGTCTAGTGGCAAGTGACGAGACTGCCGATGAGGATAAATTGATCATTTTGTCAAGCTTCTGCATTCATGTTCCATCAGATGTCACAGCTGTGGTTTGCGGTGACATCTATCGGAAACTACACACAATCTGCTTTCCTATAATTTTTCACAGAGGGCACTGCAGTGCAAAACATGTCTGGTGCCTCTATATATGCATTTAGAATATTATTCGAAGTCCCTCCTTTTTTAGACATCCTGCACACAAAATAGCTCACCCCTCACAGAATTTCCCGCCGAATTTTATGTATGGGGCGGGGCATAAATTATCTTTTGCGCAGAATATGTAAAAAGGAGGGACTTCAAATGTTAAAGCTAATGCATATATTGAGGTACCAGACATGTTTTGTTGAGAGATTGAGGTCGTGAGAGCAAATTCTCTCTCTCAAATTTGAATTTTTTGGCTCTCTGGGAGCTGGTAGTAAATCAGGCAAAACTGTATGAGGAAAAATCATTTTTATTTAATTGTAACTTGTTTAACAATAATTTCCGAGGAAAAACTGAACTACAAAGTACCTGATTAATTTCTTTAGGTTGTCGTTCACTTTTTTAGACCTTAATATGCACCGAAAGCGAATTAGTCCCACTTCTCTCAATTTCTATATGGGGATTTTATCACTTCCTACCAGTGAAACAGCGCCATCTCTGTGAAAAATGGTCGAACAAAATGATTAATTCTTTTTCGTAGATCATTTCTAGGAAATTTTATGAACTCGCTCTTAGAATCGGGCAAATTTGCATTGGGCGTGCAATAATTTAAAATCTAGGTTATTTGTATTTTGTAATACTCATTTATTTTTAATATTTTGCATTTCACTTTATATTTTATGTAGGATGTAATGTCGGCCTAAATACCCCTAATTTGGGCCCATACATAAATTCAGCAATCGACTAAGGCCCGCGAACGGTTGGTTTTGTTTTCGCTGGCGCTGATTTTATCTGTTTTTCGCATATTTTTTAATTGTGCCAAATCAAACAAATATTAGTTTTCGCGTGTGGATAAGTGTAAATTAAGATCTAACACGTCTTAAAAAATTTTTTTAGTGATATTGTAAGTAACGTGGAAAATCTGGGACCAGAATTTGTTTCGAGTAGCTGTGTTGCTGCGATGTCGCGTCGGTCGGTATTTCATTTCGCTTGTTTTTGGTGCTTTGCCTCCCTCCCAAGAAGAGTTTTACCGGGTATTTTATTTTCTTTTCTTGGTGCTGGCGTTCTGCCTTCCGGAGGATGCACGTGAATGAGGTGTTATACAAAAATTCGGTGCAAATGAAAAACTTCGCATGTCATTCAAAATGTTGTGTTCGGTTGTAAAAACAACGTTCGATTACTGCGAGTGAACAAACCGGTGCTTTTTCGGAGGCAGAATTTGGTGAGATCCATCTGATTTATAATCAATCATAAATGCATATTTCCATATATTACTAAATACGCGCCAGATTTCGAAACCACATTTCGAAATCTGGAAGTGTGCTTGCAGTACCATTATTCATATGATAACGGTAGTGTTTACATGCGGGGCTTATTGTATGTGAAAGTAACCTCGGAATGGACGTGAATTACCAGGCATTCTGAAATGGGTTGCTGAATCTGCAGTAGAGCTAT